GGGGCTTTTGGGTCAAAAGGAACCCATAGCCTTCACCGAATCTCTCATAAAAGACTTTAATCAGGCGTCTGGGCAACAGTAGTAACTTCTGACATATTAATGGGCTTTTTGCCTCACCCCATGCCTTTGAGACAGCTTTGATGCTATGTCTGGATTGCTTTGTCTCTTTTTTTTCCTGGGGTGTTGTAATCTTAGGCAGGATAATCTTTGACAAAGGCCATGGCGATCTACCCATCAGGGCTGAGAGTCCACACTGTGAGCTGTTTCTTTAACCACTTTTTTTTTTTTTTGCCTCAGTCAAAATGCAGCAATGCTTCTTAGTGGTGAACAGAGTCAGGAGTTGCTAACCGTCATCCCAAATGGGCAGTAGGTGATGCCATCTGACCAGCATTGGCATGTAAGGGCAGCTGTCCGGCAGAAGGCTCGAGGGTTGGAGAGAGCTTCTGTGACTGACCATAGGCAGTGACTTATTGGACTCTGGAGTTAGGGGTGGAAAGGTCGGCTCCTGTGGGATCTGATGATCTGGTGGAGAGTGGGAGCTGATGAGTGAGGAACAAGAGAAGGACTGAGGGCTGGAAATAGACGAGTGAGGAGCAGGAGCAGTGGGGCTGGCAGGTGGCAGAAGCTGGCAGAAGTGCTGGCAGAAGCTGCAGTGCCTGGGAAGGCCATACATCTGCCATGAAAGCATCCACAAGGAGGACAGGTTTTTGTGATGGAGTCTTATTCAGGCACAGAGCTGCTTTCATTTTAACTCTGTAATCTCCTTTTGAAAAAAATATTCTTTAGGATATATGCCAGAATTGTAAGCTTTGATTAATTAGATTCCATCATGACTCCTGAGGTGTATGTGGTATTCCCTTGTCCAGCGATGCAAGACAGACAAAGACAGGCTGCCCGCTTTGATAGAAGACAGACGGGATGCTTCCCTGGCTGCTTCCCTCTCGGGGTTGAAGGTCTGTCTTAGCACAGGCACATCCGTATTCCCAAGTCAGGGACCTCAGTACAGAGCTGCCTTGGGGCCATGATGACAGGCCACAGAGCCGCAGGACAAGCCCATTCACACTTCGTAGCTGAGGCAGGTGTGGAGTTATACAGCCATCTAAAGCAGTTGGCTTCATGAGGGATGTCATGCATTCACTCACACATTCATCCCGAGGTTAAAACATGCTACTCTTCACCCAGAAAACTGAAACTGATTAGTTGATCAGGCTGCTTTTCCATTCTTAACTTAGGATGGGTTACAACCAGGAAAGTACAACTCAGGAAGGTCACCATGATTCAAAAGTCCAGATGGTTTTCTTTCATTCTCCTGTAGAGCTGGCAGTGGCGGTGTGTCCCAGTCTGCAGAGGGGACCTCAGAAGTCAGTCAGAGGGGCACGCCTCCCATCCTCGTGCGGCCTGCATGCATGCGGGTAGACTCATCTCCGTGACCCACGTCACAGGCCATGCAGGGCGGTAGCTGTCTTTTCTTATTTCCCTGCCAATGCACGAATAACTTCTGTGGGGAAAATTGAATGAACATCAGCTCAGGAGGAGAAAGGAAATTTTAGTGATGTTGTGAACCTTAGAGGAGTCATCTCCAAAGTCTCAGGTGTTGTTTATAGAGAGCTTGTCTTATTTAGAGGGTGTTAAACAAGTTACAAGAATGAGGTAAGCTTTTATGAGATAAACTTTTGCTGAGGATTGCAGTGCAGTGGGTATCTTGTGATGAGGATAGTTGTGTGTAGCAACATTGTTCTTGACACAGTCACAGAAGCTTCAGTTTGATGACAAACCATGTGATTTAGCTAAGTTCAGTGGCAGAGAGCAGAATGACTACAGCTTTATTGAACAAAATGGCTGTAGTTAGGTCAGGGTTTCTGCTTTAGTAGGACTTAACATCATTTGAGGATGTAGATAGGGGCTTCATGCAGGCAGGAGTGGGGAGGAGAGCAGGACTAGCCTCCTGCGGGACACATGCCTGGACCTCACTTCTTCGGGGGCTGAGGAGGTGAATCCCAAGATGACCTTGTCTACAGAGAAAAACCTGGCCTCAAAGGGAAACGGCAGAGGTTTTTGGTGATATTGGAGATGTCAGATGTGCCAAGTTTGTGTCCCCAAAAATCAAAAGAATGAATTTCAATGAACAAGGCCAGTCAGGCGTAGAAAAGATTTACTGAAAGCTAGGTCCTGAGAGACCCTGAGAGACAGGAGGGGTCTCGAGTGGGTTGTCACCAAGATCCTTTGTCAGGGGTAATAAATTACAGCAAAATCACAATAAGTACAACACGAGTCAAGCAGCCTATAAAATTACAAGTTTAATTACTTAGCTAATATTGATCTAATAAGCAAACAAATTGCACAGCAAGGATGCATGGCATTTTGGGGATTGAATGAGTCCAGACGCTCTGGGCTCCCACCTGGGCGCCTGATGCCCATCTGGACTCCCTGGACCAGGTGGTGCCAACTGCAACTTCCTGTTTAAGCCTTCAGGCCTGGCTACCGCATCTCTTCTGGAGCCTGTCCTTCAGATGCGTCTCTCCGTCCAGAGTTCGATGTCTTTATTTCTGACTGTGTACTACTATCTACCTTTCTTTCCTAACTGTGCTGCCCGTAGCAGAGGTGGGCGGGGAGGGTAGAGCTTAAGCCAGGATGCTCAGTGGGGAGCAGTCCCACACAGTCAGGTTCCTGGTACATTTTTTTTTTTTTTTTTTTTTTTTGCCCCAGTAGAGGAAGGGGTCATAATCTCTTCTCTCTTGCCCTTTACTACGAGCTTTCCATCTCATTCTCCGCTGTGATGGCCCTAGGGGGAGGCAGCCTGACGTGAGAGGCCACAGCGGTGGCAGTGGGAGAGCTGGGAGGAGGAGCTGGTGAAGGTCAGTGTACCCCGTGGGCCTTCTCACTAACCTCTTTGAGGGTCAGTTTCTAGAGTGGCTGAGTGAGCATCAGAGTGTTGATTCACAGCAATCTTGAATATAATAATGTATGTACACACTCTGTGACCCTTGGCTTACGAAATGCTCAACAAACAGAGGTAATTGAGATTATGACCATTATTACTCGGGTCACACAACACACAGAAGCACCTGAGATGCTCTAGGCACTCAGTGCACATTAATCTTTATTCTGCTCTGTGGGGAGAGGTAGGCAACCAGGAGGCCGGAAGCCTCAGCTACGCACAATGTGGAGGTCATGGTAGAAAAGCAAGTCATGGTAAGACGACGTCTCAGGTGGGGGACACATGAGCTCGGCGCACGGTTACGGGGTGGACAAGCCTCGCCTCAGCTCTGGGAAAGGCTGACGGCGCCCTCCGGGGAGCGCAGAGGAGCTGCCGGGCTGGTGTTTTGGCGCCATCTACTGGACTGACTCGGTACTTCAGTCCCGGACAAGTAGGTGGCTCTTTGGACCCAGTTGCTGCCAATAAAGAGTGATGTGGTTTCCTTTGTGTGTGTGTGTGTGTTTATGTTTGCCATTCACGAAAACATACCTTGTATCAGCCAAGAGTTTAGTTAGGATGGCTTCAGACTGTGTCCTTGAGGGGTGTTACGAGGAAACAGGAGCAAGATATTATTTGCATTGTTAGAAATTAAGCGCCAATGACATGCTTAGGGCAGCTGAGGCCATGTTCTGATCCCTGGGGCCACAGAGGCTGTGTGTGTGTAATGGGGAGTCCCGTGGAGACGGCTGCCTGGCCTGACACCCTGGGTCTGCTCAGGTTTCCTGGGGACTATGTCTCTGCCCTATTTAGACACATTTCTGGCGGCCTCCCAAGCTTCCTGCAGCTTTCCAAGCAGCTGGGAGGTGTATTCATGCCAGTGCGCTCCGCGTGTGTGTGTCAGCAGGTGTCAGCACAATCCAGGGGGTAACATACATGGCACCAAGTGACCTGCCATTGTCACTGCCCTGGGGAGGGTCCAGCAGGAGAGAGGGATGGAGACCATCCAGGCAGAAGCTAGTCAGGCCAGAGTCTACTCAGACTTCCTTAAGAGAGGCACTGTCACCCCTGAGAAGTCCAGGACCAGGACCTGTCTAGCTTCACCCATGTGACCAAGTTGATGGCAGCCTCTGTGCGGGCAGAATCTGTAACCTGGGTAGGAGGAGGCATGGAAAGGGAAGTATCCTGGCCGCCTCCAGGAATAGTGCGTGTGGAACACCCTGGGACAGTCCCTTTGTGCAGTGACCTGAGGACATAGCTCACAGCCAGACAAGAGGTAGTTGGTGTGTGTGTGTGTGTGTGTGTGTGTGGCCATTCGTGTGTCAATTTGAGCCCCTGTCTGTCATTGTATTTCTGTATGTGGGGCCTGTGGACGAGTTCAGACATAAGGGATAGTCCATACCAAAGTGCTTTCCAGAAAGCTCACGTCCATGGACACAGTCATCATCCCACCAGCTAATGGCATATTTAGCCTACCATATCCCATGATGCTCTAGCTATGAAATGGGAGTAGAACGGCGTGTGGGCACAGACACACTCACATTCCCAGCCTGCAGTGCCCTGCCCTGGTGGCTGCCTACTTGGTAGATAAGCTACAAAATTCTTTGAGTTCACAGGATCTATCTCCAGGTTTCCAATTTACTCTGTGCAGAGATGTCCAGGGTAAAGAATATCCCTCCTGGGGGTGGCTTCCTTTTGTTGTGGTGTCTATGACAATCTATGTCATCAGGGAATTTAGAACCTCTTTGGAGAGCTGCAAACAGCAATCTAGTAGAGGACAGGGTGTAAGAGTAGCCAAACTTACAGTGTCATTTGAGGATGTAGACAGGGACTTCATGCAGGCAGGAATGGAGAGAAGGCAGGACTTACCTCGTGGGAGGACGCCTTCCAATCTCAAAGCTTTTAGCCATGGTGAGGCACACCTGAGATCTTACCTGTTGGGGAGCTGAGGAAGGAGCATCGTGAGTTCCAGGACAACCTGTTCTATGTAGAAAGACCTGGCCTCAAGGGAAAACAGCAGGATGTCAGATGTGCTGAGTTTGCGTCCCCTGAAATCAAAAAGTGGATTTCACCAAACAAGGCCAGGTAAGAGTAGGAAAAGTTTATTGAGCGATAGCTCCTGAGAGACAGGAGGGGTGCCAAGTAGGCTGTCACCAAGGTCCTTTGTTAGGGGTAATTTATACAGGAAAGTCATAACGTGGGTACAGTGTGGGTCACACTACTATCACCTTATAGAATTACAAGTATAGTTGCTTAGCTAATAAGGATTCACAGGGAAATGAGTCCTGTAGGAAGAATGCATGGAAAGAACAAAAGCATGCTGGGAAGGAATGGGTCCAGATGTTCTGGTCTTCCATCTGTGCAACAGATGCCAATCTCAGCTACCAGACCAGGTGGTGCTAATTACAGAATACTTCCAAGTTAATGTTCAACTTTTTGCTGTATACAATAGGAAAAGTGTTGGTGTTTTTGGTAAACAACACACATTATATATCTTTTTATTATCAGAAGTCTAGTTAAGGGTTGCTTTGGGAGGTTCTGAATGAATTATTGGTATTTCCATTATTTCTTATAGGAAAAATAGTGTTGACTTACAACCAACTTGAATTACAGGCAGCCCTCACAAACAAACTGAGTTTGTAAGTTGTATACAAACCTAGCCAAGGAAACTGTAAGTAAATAGTCTCTGTGAAGAACATCAATGTAAATATTCTCAATCACATATTAGCAAATAAAAGGCTATGTATCAAGAAAGATTTGTCTTGTGGCATCAAGGATAGTTCAACATATAAACATATAAAAATCAATACATTTGGTTAATTCTCCTTAGCTGAATGATACAATCAGATGAATTCACTAAACGCATAAGATATCTTTTCATGATAAAAGTTTTAAACACATTTCTTGGACTTGGCAAGCTCTTGAGATGATAGAAAATTAAACTTGGAGACTTACTGTGTATTTTTACTTCTTTAGCATCTGGAAAATTCTTATTTTGTAGTATTGTCAATTTTACACACTGAAAAGAATCTAACCAAATCTTACAAAATTTTGTAGCTTATTCACTGTTACAAATGTCATAAAATTATGCATTGCTTATTCATGTTAATAAAAGTACTATAAAAGTCACTACATGTCATTTAATTAAAGATGAAATATATTCCATATAAAATGTTTTCCTTGTTTGAAAAATATACTGCATTGGATAGGTGTTAGATAGAGGAAATAAATTCTTGTGAGTTGAGGAAATAAATACAATCCTTATTTAAGTATGTCCATTTATGAATATGAAAGACTGTCATACAGAAATATTGTTTTCTACATAGTACTGTATAACAAGAGTAAATATAAAGAAGATATAACTTTAGCTAGAAACTAATGCATAAGATCAAAAAATAGAAAACAAGATCAACACAATTTAAGGAGATTAAGACACCCTGAATAGAAGTTAGCAAGTTAACATAGCTTTCTCAGTTATTAATATAACCATAGGACAAAACACAGCAAGGATTGGAGTCTTAACACGGTTCACTATCTGTTTGCTGTCTTTAACATGTACAGAGAGTAAATATAAAAAGATCAGGATAAAATATATTCTTTCAAGTATACATGAGATTGTACAAAACTAACCATATATTAGCCATAAAAATAACAAATTTTGATCAAAGAATTGACATCATCCAGAATTATGCTCTTTTACCTAGAAGATCAAAACTAGACACAAGTTAGAAAAATACAGCTTAAAATCCCCCAAATATTAATCTAAGTAAGTGAAAAGAAATTCTAAAATAAAATGGAGGCAGGCAAAACTTGATTACTGGTTTAAGGAAATATTTCTTTAATATAAAAGCGATAAAGATAGAACTCACGAAGTTGACTTACCTTCATTGTGAATGCGTGCTTATGAAAAGATACCATTGAATGAATATGGAAACAAAACACAGGTTGAGCAAAGACATCAGTACAGTTATTGACAGAATATTCATTCAGAATACATAAAGAATTCTTAAAGCAGTAAGAAAAAAAGTGAAAATGCAAGTGGAAAAATTATATATTCTTTTAAAAAATAATATTATTTTATGATGGTCACCCAGAGTTAAACACAAGAAAATGCAGGAAATCTGTCCATAACACTAAAGACCCAGAAAATTCAGCCGAAGGCCTGAATCCCACAGCAATGTCCTGCATGAGTCCAGATGAAAACCTATTGCCATGACAATGCCTCCCACGAGTCCAACTGGAGGTCTGGAGTCCACGAGAAAGACTCACGCCAGTCTGTTTTATGGATCTAGATATTCTTAAGAGAGTATTCAAATGGCAAATACCATTATGAAAATCTGCCTAAACTCATTAGTTACTAAATGGATAGTAAACCTAACTATGATATTAATACACAAAAAGAAGAATAGCTAAGACTTTTAAAAATTTATCAATAGTCATCATTTTAGAGGAGATGCCTCTTTCATACATTACTAATAGGAGAGCAAATTGGTATGACTTTTGCAAACGTCTTATCAATAGTTCCTTAGGCAACAAATTCTCCTATGGCATCATATCATATTCCTGTGTAGCTATCCCCCCAAATTTTACCTAGAAAAGTCACAAAAATGGTATCAGGAACTTTGATATTATCCCTACACTGTGGTGCACATTACATACTGTAAGAGATATAAATGGTTATTACAGGCAGACATCTAGTTTGTTTTGAATTGCCTTTTGCAAAGAACGCAGACACCATGGAGTGCGTGACCTTTGGTTCTATTTACATAGCATTCATGAGCAGCAGTGTAGGGTCCCATTTTGTCCACATCGTTGCTGATATCTATATAATTTTTTAACACCTCTCTAAAAGATGTGAGGGGACGTTTTAATCTTTTAAAAACAAGTTGTTTTTGCTTTTTTCCGAGTTTCCCATTCACTGTATTAACTGTCGCCTTGGTGGCAGAACTCTGTACTTTGATGTGTTCACTTTTGTCTAGTTTCTGTGCTGTTTTTATAATGTTTAAATATTGGACATCACTGCCCAGAATGAGTATGTAGCATTCTCCCCTTTGTCCTTTCTAAAATATTTGTCCAGGTTCAAATCTTATGTTTAAGTCTTTAATCCCCCGAGCTGTTTTGTTTTGTCTCTTGGGAGGTAGAGTTTGTCTGTGTTCTCTAGATGGCCGCATTGTGACCTGTCTGTACTACAGAATGACTGTGAGCACACGCAGCCAAACACACAGTCGTTACCTAACCAGTACAACTTGCTCCAACACTTCAGTGCTACCCTGGGGGATGAGCTAAGACCCTTCTCCTTGTCTTCACCCCCAACCTTCACTATCAGTAGAAAAACTAGCAAACTAATTTTTTCTGTGGAGATGTCCTTGCTCTAGACATTTCACACAAACGAAAAACAGGCTTTGTGGTCTCCGTGACTGGCTTACTCACTTAGCATGGTGGCTTTAGGGTTTTCCCTATTTTACCACTTTTAGAGCTTCATTGATTTTCATGGCTAAATAATATTCTCCTATATGGATTCACCACATTGGTTTATCTGTCAGTCAGTTGATATACACTTGGGAAAGGAAACTCTGAGCTTATGCAGTGAAGTTCTTCCTCCCCTATCCCAGGAGCATCTGTGTTTTTTGAAGGAGACAGTGAAGTTCTAGTCAGGCTCCAGGTGGATGGAGGGCTCCGTCATCCATGAGTAATGCCTTTTGAGTAATGCTGCAGAAGTGCATCTGTCTCCTCAAAGGATGAGGGCTGAGAAGGGAAACCTTATCTGGAAGAGCTCTGGTCAAGGAAGGCAGGGGGGCAATTCTGGGACCACTAAAGAGTCAGGAAACGGATTAAAGCTCCTTTTACAAGGAGGGCCATGGAAGACCCACGGGGAAAGGCAGTGCATTCTGCCCAGCCGCAGCTCAGTCTGAGCCAGGGCTTTAAGTTGAAAGGCTGCCGGGGCTGTCCGGGGCCCCTGGGGCTGTCGGGGGACCCCCCCCCCCCATAGCACCAAGGCGGCCAAGTCTGCGCGGGGGAGCCCTGACCCGGGAGCGGCACTGCTGTGGGGTCTGCCCTGTAGCTGGGGCACTTGGCAGAGGCCTGGGGTCTGGGGTGCAGCGGATGAGATGAGGGGACCTCGTCACCTTGGGACGTGACAACCGTCCAGGGAAAGCATGGCCTCTCGCTTCCTGATGGAGGGCGACGGCCGCTGGGAGATGCACAGGGTCAGGCCGGAAGGCTCTCCTCATAGGCTTTATTCAGATTGTGGATCGAAAGCTTTACGCCATAACGAAAGGAGAAAAGGCAAGACGGTCAGGCCAGTGGACCACGGGTCTCCCCACAGTGCTCGCCGCCTCGTTACGGCTTTCTTTTAGCTTGCTGTACTCGATGCTGTAAAAGCGAGGAGAGAAATGTTAAGTTTTTACTCTTAATATAGTTGTCTAATTTTATAACTATAGGGGAAGTAATTAGCACAACCAGTTACACTGTGGAAATAGAGGTTTCAATACAGAGCTAAACTTTACATTGATAAAAACTGCCCGTAAGCAAATAGAAACGAAGAGCAAGGCAAACATGCCAAGACGTGACTCCAGTGCCCCGTGAGGACAGCAGGTCCTGGTGCCTCAGCAGGCGACCCAGCCTGTGACCCAGCACTGACCACTGACCGCCTGGCGCCAGAAGGGCCCCACTGTGCTCCTCTCCGCACTGGCCCAGAAGTCAGTGTCTCCACAGTCCTCTCTTTCTTCAACCCAAATAAAGTACATCCACTCAGTCTCCACTCTGATCGATGCTTCTTGTCACATCTCTAAGTCGTTTCTGTTTTTTGTTTATTTGTGTTGTTGTCTGAGGCAGGGTCTTGCTAAGCGGTTCAGACTGGCCTCAAAGTCACTACACAGCCCAGGCTGGCCTCGAACTATCTGCACTCCTCCTGCCTCGGCCTCTTGAGTGCTGGGATGACAGGCATGCAGCCCACGGCGGGCTCACTTTGCTCTCTTCCTGTCCTCCAGGCCCACCCCCACGGAGGTCGCTGGTGAATTCAGTCACCTGAGCAGTTGCATCATTCTCCAGTGCTGACTGAATACATTTTCCATCCTTTATCCCAGTGAAATTTTAAAAATACAAACAGCGCCGTGAAAAATTCTTTACCGCCTCAGAAATAATCATCTCCCTGTTTGTAGACGTGGAAATCAAACCGCTCGTCATGGAATACCAGACATTTGAGTGGGCTCATGATTAGTCATGTTGATTTTTTTCTCAATATTTACAAATTTAAAGATGAATTGAAAAATATCAAGAAAATAACCTCCAGAAACAGAGAACTGGCCCTTTTAATACTTTAAACTATTAGTCTTGCTGTATCTTTCTGCTTTCTGCCTGTAAACAGACACATGGGTTTTTCTGAGAAGCTGCCTGTGCCAGTCCCTCCCTGCCAGCACTCAGGGGGCCGCCGTGCTCTCCTCGCTGGACGACGCTGCCTGACCCTTTGCCTGCGTCCTCTCCACACTGGGGGTGGTGTTTGATCAAACAGCTTTCTTGTGTGTGTGCCTGTGCTCAGAGTTCAAACCCTCTGACGGTTCCTATTCATTGGAGAAGGTGACCTGCAAGAACTCCTCCAAGACCCTGGGTGCGCTGCTGTCCTGATCTAACCCCAAACATAGCCCTCTTTTTGACTCTGCTTTAGGTAAATTGACAGCCTGTTACCAAAAGTCTTGACTTGGTTTTAAAGTTCTTTTTTTTTAAGTTTTACTTTTTGTTAGTACACAATGTTAGCAGTACACAGTGATTACATTCTTTGTGATAAGCTGGTACATATACAGAATACATATTAATTTTTTTTCAGTCTTTTCTCCTCCCTTCCTCTCCCTCCATTTCTTGGTTCCCTTCACTTTTGCAAAAAGATCTCTCTCCCTATTTCCTATTACCTTTTATTGTGTTTCTTATTTATACTTGAGGTTTCTTAGAGAAATCATGCAATAGTTCCTAAGCTATGTATCTGTATTATTTATTTAAGATTAGGATCTCGAGTTCCATCCATTTTCCTAGAAATGACTGAAATTTATTCTTTATGGCATTATGTATCAATGCCACTTTTCCTTATCTATACATTTGTCAATGAGCTTATATGCAGCTCTCAAGATTTAGCTATTGTGAACTGTGTTGCTATTAACATCAGTAGACCTGGATCACTGTCATGTCATATCTTTAACTCTTTTGGGAAGATACCTAGAAGGGGAACATGAAATTTCTAGTTTTAGTTTTTCAGAAATTTTCATTTTTCATTAGCTCTTTCCTGTGTTTTGAAAGCTACTCCTGAAACGTATGCATGGATAATATGCCAGCCATCCACATGTGTAGGGTAGTGCTAATTTGCAGCAGGAAATGGAAATCTCTATTTTTGTTTCTGAGAAAGCTTCATTGTCTGGTCAGGAATTTTTGCCAACATAAGGGCAGTGAGATTTCTGATGGGATGTTTATAATTTAACATGAGACTGGAACTTTTTGTCTAATTCCCAGAGTTTAGTAGCAGGTAATAAAATAGAGCCCTTTTAACTATCGCTATAGTCAGATATGGAGGAAACATGAGGAATAAATTCTTGATCTCTCTCGAGTTTTTAAACATTTTAAAATTTACTACAGTGATAGGCCTTACATGGCAAATACCATAATTTTGTGTGTGTATGAATTAGAATGTGAACAGTATAAATGTGGATGCTTATTTTTATATAACTTCCAAAAAAGAATTGTCTTTCTGCTTCAAGGGAGGGTACATTTAGCATTTTGTCTAAAATCTAATAGGTGTCAAAGTAAATTCTACAAAGCATTATTTTTTATTTTATGGGAAAAAGGCAAAACAATTTCATAATTAAAATATTAGGCGAATAATAGTTAATACATTGCGTATTGTCATCAAGACAGTACTCAGTATCAGATATGCGCTTGCTTAAACATTCCCTAGTCAATATTAGCTCAAACCTTTCTTTTCAATGAACTAAGAAACACTAATAGTGAGACAACTTCACTTTCCTCCCTTTCCCCTTCTTTCCTTTCCCCTTTTCCATCTCCTATTTCCTTATTCCTTTAAAAAATTTCTTCCCATTTCACAATATCTATTGTATATCTTAGACCTTATTTACTCTTTCAATTTCTCACATCAGAGAGACAATATAATGTTTACACATGTGAGTCTGATTTATTTAACTTACGAGTATGGTCTCAACTTGTGTTCATTTACTTATAAAAGTCTCAACTTTACCCTTCTTTATGGCTGAATAGTACCAGTTTGTATAAAAAAGACCACATTTTAAAAGTCTGTCTCTCAGTTGATGGGTATCTGGGTTGTTTCCAAGATTTAGCTATTACAAATTTTGCTGCTATAAACATGAGTGTACATATATCATTGTGGTATGATGTTTTTAGTTCTTTAGGGAAGATGTCCAGAAAAGGAATAGCTGGGTCAAATGGGACCTCTAATTCTAGCTTTCTGAGAAATCTCCACCCTGATTTCCACAGTGGTTCCATAAAAATAAATTCTTAGGAATCAACCTAAGGAAGGAAGTAAAAGGTGTGTGTGTATATATATATATATAATTACAGTACCCTGAAGGAGATTGAAGAAGATATCAAAAAATGGAGAGACATCCCTTGCTCATGGATAGGAAGAACCAACATAGTGAAAATGGCCATTCTCCCAAAATTGTTATACAGATTTAATGCAATCCTGATGAAAATACCATTAGCATACTTCACAGAGTTAGAGAAAATATTCCTAAAATTCATTTAGGATAGACCTAAAACATCAAAGGCAATCTTAGGCAACAAAGCAAAGGCTTGAGCATCAGAATCCCTGACTTGAAATTATACTACAAAGCTACTGTGATAAAATCAGCATGGTACTACCAACAAAACAAAACAAAAATACAAGCAGACCTGAGGACCAGTGGAACAGATTAGAAGATGCCAACACAACTACAAACACACTCAGCCACCCTATCTTTGAAAAGAGGGCCAGACATGTTCACTAGAAGAAAGCCTCGTTAATAAATGCTGTTATAAAGCAACCTTAAGAGTATAAACTCAGTAGTCTGATTACCATCTGTAGAATGTTCCATCCAACAAGAGTACATATTCTTCTCAGCAGTGCATGGGGTTTTCTCCAAAATATACCACATAGCACTAGCCACTTAACTAAATGCAAAAAAGTGAAATTATCCCATAAATATTATCAGATGATAGTGCAATAAAACTAGAAATGAATGACAAATGAAACAATATGGACTATACAAACAAATGTAAATTAATCTCTTGAAAAAAATCAGTGAGTCACAGATGAAATTAAAGAACAAATTAGTTTCTACAATCAAATGATAAATGAAATATTATATACTGGAACTTATGGGACACAATGAAAGCAGGTCTAAGATGGAAGTTCATAGCAATAATTTCCACATTATAAAAACAGAACGACACAAATAACCTGATGCTGTACCTTAAATCGAAAAATAAGAATAATTCAAGCCTCAAGCTGAGGCAAGGAAGTAAATACAAGAATCAGGGTCAAATTACTGAAACTAAAACTGAAATTAAACAAATAAGCAGCAGCAGCAGCCATGCGTCCTAGAAAGAGAACCAAGAAGAACTAACCCCTTCCTGGAGCCAGCAGCAATAATGGGCAGGAGAGAAAAAACAAGAAGCCAACACTTTCCTGTGAGCCACTTATAGCAGGCTGGAGGACAGGAAGTGCCGAACCCCCAACAAACACCCCCCCCCCCAGCAACTGGCAGATTCAGAGAAACAAGGCTGAGACAATAAATACTGAAGAAAAAACAACTTAATCCTGTATTGTTTGACTGACTTTGCAGACCTAAAGCTGGTGTTCTGAGCATCTATTTAGAGGATAACAATATGCAATATAGCAATTATGGGGGATTTCCTTCTGAAGGTGGTAGCCATTGTTAATTTCCTGCTATCCTGTTTAAAAGTCCTATATCATTTTCATTGTTTTGTTTGGCTTAGTTTTATTCTGTTTCATTTTGATTTTATTATATCCGATGGCATGGGCAGCTATTTCAAAGATAATAAGACATATTATGGTAGCCATTCTTGATTTCCTATTAGCTTGTTTTGAAGTCCTGTAACCCTTTCACAGTTTTGCTTTGAATGGCTTTATTCAGAGTTATTTTGCTTGATTTTATTCTCTTTAAAATAAAAAAATTAAAACATTTGGTTGTCTGAAAAACTGAATAAAATAGACCCTTAACTAATCTTTCCAAAATAAGGGCAGAAAAACCCAAATCTATGCACTTATCCATTTTGCGAAATCCAGAAGGTTATTGGTAACTCATTTGAGAACATGTACTTTAAAAAAATATGAAAAATTCAGTGGAAATGGATAAGGTCCTAGGAGAGGAGAAAAAAGAAGTCAACACTTTCCAGTGAGCCACTTACTGCAAAATGGAACTTTATGAAAAAGATAAAAAATTTAAATAAGCCAATATCAGTCATTAAAATTGAAGAAGTAACAAAAGAAAAAAAATCTACCAATTAAGAAGAGCTCAGGCTCTGACAGATTCATTCAAATTCCACAAGAACTTTAGAGATCTAATACCAGTGCTCCTCAAACTCTTTAATATAACCTAAAGGGGAGCAGTATTCCCAAAATCATTCTGGACACAAACATTACCCTGACTCCAAAACCAGAAAAGAGCCTCCCCTGCCAAAAGGAAACTATACGCCAATCTCTTTAATGAACACAGGTGCAGAAATTGTCAGTAAGATACTGGCAAACAGTGCAACAAATCATCAAAAATCATGACCAGATTGCATTCATGCCCAGGATGTAGGAATGGTCCAACCTATGCAAATCAATAAATGTAATACACCATAGAACTAAGGACAAAACCATGTGGTCATCTCAATAGATGCAGAAAAAGCATTTGACAAAATTGAACGACTACTCATGATAAATACACTAAAGAGAATAGGAAAAGCAAGTCTTTATCACAACCTGGTAAAAGCCATCTATGACAGACAACTGCCAAAATCATACTAAATACTGAGGAACTGAAAGTCTTCCCTCTAAACTCAGGAACAAGACAAGGATGTTTGCTAGAGTTCTCAAACTATTAGCTAGAGCAATAAGAGAAGAAAATAAAAGTGAGATGGAAGGGGAGTGCCACGCGCTCTGTGTCTGGATGTCCCCTCAAGCCTCAGGCCATCAGGAGGTGTAGGCCTTTCAAGGACAGCTTGTTAAACCCGGACAGGAAACAGAGTCACGGCATTTCTAGATCAACGCATCAGAGAGCTGGGTCCCCACTTCATAAACACCTTGGGCTGTGTGAGTGAGACGGGGCACAGGGAGGTGTGAGTGCTGCCCTCCCCTGGAGCGGGTGCTCTGCATACAGCTTGAGGAGGAGGAGAGGCCTGCTCTCCCTGCCTGGCTCTTTTCCCCTTGCTGTGTTGCTGCCATGAACTGTCCCCCTGTGCCACGCCACCCTGCCTCGGAGCCAGCTGATTACGGACTGACATCTCCACAGACAGTGAGCTAAATAAACATTTCCGCCCTTAATTTTGAACATCAGGCATTTTGTTTCAGTAATGAGAAAAGTAACTAAGAAAGTGAGGAAGAAGTTAAATTATCATAATTTGCTGATATCTGATCCTCTGCATAGAAGACCTCAAAAACTCCACTAAAAGACACATGGAACTAACCAAATTTGGCAGGGCAGCAGGATACAAAGTCAACATTAAAAGTCAATAACATTCCTGCACGCAAATAAGAAACTCATTGAGAGTGAAATTAGGAAAACAATAGCATTCACAATACTATCAAGAAAAAGGTTAGAAATTAAGCTAACCAAGGGAATAAAAGACCTCTATAATGTAAACTATAGTACTCTGAAAAAGAAGATTGGAGAAGACACCAGAAAATGGAAAGATGTCCCTCTTTCTGGATAGGCAGAACCAATATAGTCAAAATGGCCATGTTTCTAAAAACTGTTATATAGATTTAATGCAATCTCAATCAAAATACCAATAACATTTCTTAGGAACTGGAGAGCAATCTTTGAATTCATATGGAACCAGAAGAGACCTAGAATAGCAAAAGCAATTCTGGACAATAGGCAGGTCAGGGCATCACAGTCTAGGGACTTCAAATTATACTACAAAGCAACAGTGATAAAAACACATAAGACAATTATACTAAGTCAAGGTACATTTTTAAATAGATTATCTGAACTGAATTATAATGCCTTTTTTGCTTTCTTTTTTTTCCTAGTGTCTCCCTTGTATTTAATAATTAAAAAATGTTATTGAGTTTTTATGTAGGAGAAACCATGCAATAATTAAGTTTATGTGTCTAAGTTGCAATTTAGACACATAAACTTAATCATGGCATGTGTTTTGTATGTTCTTTGTCCTATTAGTCTTCTTTTCAATCTGTATATATGATAATTAACTTCACAAGGTCTTATAAAATAAAAATTTGATGCTGGAAAGGTAAAAGGAGAGTCAAGGTAGACGGTAAAGAAGGGAATTGAAATGTGTTGTGTACGTGTACCAAGTCTCCACAGGGAAGGTAACATTATGGACTGAAAGCATTACTAATAAAAGTGAGAGATTTAGAAAAACAGAAAAATTAAGCTTTCAAACTTACTAAAATTGTATATACATGACTTACTATCTGTTTTATTTCTATTTTTTTCTAAAACAAGGATAACAGTATCTGGAAGTCTTAAAGAATATAAATATGGAAAAACAATCTCTATATATGTACCAAGTAGAGACTCAAATGAGATGTAAGAAGCATAACTGTGTAAATACTGTAGGAAAACACTTAAAACCCCTTTAAAAGTTATTTCTTATTGTAAAATTGTATCATGGATGTCTGTTCAGAATTGGTTACTATTAAATGTTTTCCAGTTACTGTGAAGCAAAATTAACATCAGATATTTTGTCTCAGTACTTGTTTTACATGATATTCACAGACTGGAGTCAGGATAGTGAAAGATGAGAATAACAACTTCCTATTATTGAAGTTCTGTTAAAAATAACTATGTTGTGAATTATATAATTTATATCAATAATCTGATATTTTCAACCGACCTTCACTGTATGACTGGTTGCTGTTTTCACTGCTGTCTTCTGATATAGAGCTGTATAAAAGAGAGAACATTTATTTTAAGAGAAACATTGTAATATAAAGCAAAAATATCACTAAAAGTAAAGAAATGACAGTTGTATTAATTAATTAGTTAGTATATGCCAATGTCCACTTTGCTTCCCATATTCCATAGAGATTTCATTTATTTGTAGTATTTCATTTTTTGTAACGTTGCTGTAATTCTAAAGATGTAAATTAAGCATTTTTAAAATTCAAAAGTAAAAATGTATTATTTTCCGTTATCTTTTCATGATATTAATATATTTATGATGAAGCTTCTTCAAAGTTAAAAAAGAAAACACATATATCTATATACACATCTTTAAATTCTTAATTAATCTTCTTAAAATTATAGTATTTCTGTCAAATCAGTGTGTGTTATGGTGGATACAGTGTTAACTTGAGAAGCGGTTAACTAACCACTCAGCAGGAGCCAGGGTCCCTCCTTTGTAAACACCCTCAGCCTGCGCAGGAGGAGGCCCGAGAGGGTGTGATGCTTCCCCACCCAGGGTGTGGCCTGCTTACAATACAGACGAGGACAAGACGCGCGCTCTTTCCCTTTCTTCTTCTGTTTTTCTGGTACCGGAAATCCAACTCACCACCTCGTGCTTGTTGCTTTGCTGTCTTCTGCCCCTGTGCCTTGGAGCCAACTGATTATGAAATGAAATCTCCAAAACTGTGAGCTAAATAAACCTTTTCTTTCTTAATTTTGGTTGTCAGGCATTTTGTCTCAGCAATGAGAGAAATATAATCAACATAGTGTGGAAACAAGTAGTTATTTGGACTGCAAATTCACTTTTATTATTGAGGCCCTCAGTGAGGCCTCGATGTTCAGCTATGTTTAATAATATTTTGTGATATTTATTCAGCTTCCCATTTTCCTTGGAACACTATCCATATAAGGTTTCTGCTAAAGAAGAGGTTCATGGTGTCTAGAATATAATGATATGGCTACCATTCCTTCATTACAGATGATGAGATGAGGTTGGAATTCCTATTTTAAAATAAAAACTAAAATGATCTCATATGGATGTGCTTGGCAAGGGCCAGTGTGGCAGTCTTTGCTCACAAAATGGAGGTACAGAAGGAAAGCTAATGTCAGTTATGAACTTGTGAGTGATGAAGAGAATGACTAGCTCCTGATGACCCAGTTTGTTACTATCCTTTTTTCTTTTGCTGTATTTCATTTCTTAACCTGCAGCCCAGAAACCACTGGTTTTCATGTTTTTTCATGATCAAATGTTGTCCTGTAAAATATTTTATTAATTTATTTTTAATTGACAGGTAATTAACCTTGCTGTGACATCTCTTTCAAAAGTTAGGGTTACTTCTAGTAACCATTCAGGTTTTTTCCAGCTGTCTTCGGAGAAGCACAGGAATGAATACCAATGAAAACCAGCATCCAATTAAGTCAATTAATGACAGTTGATGATTCTGTAAATATGTCCAGATCATCCAGAATGCTGCCATGAACTTAAATAGTTGCTGATGACTTGCTGATAAAGGCATTTAATGGAAATTTTTAATGGAAATTTTGTATAAACATTTTATCTTTATCTATGTCACTGAAATTCACAGAAGAAATTTCAAACTAATCTTCTCCATTTTCATTTTCCTAAATGTTACAGCATAAATTAGAGTTTTTAATGGTTTTAAGATATGCAAATGCCTTATTATTTAAGAGACACAGAAGCAATATTCATTATGTGCAAAAAATGAAGAATCATCCTACCTGTGTTTTCTCCCTCAATCAGGGCTGTTTCCTATTTTTGCTACTTTTATATATTCTTTTACAAATTTTTTTCCCTGCCTGTCTCTGTTCATCACCTTGGCACAAATGATGGCCAGTTCAAAGACAATGATATTGCTTGAGAAGTCCACAAACCCTCCTAAATCAACGACCTCTGTCATGGTTTTCTGTCTCAAAGGATTTGCCCCTGTTTCTGGTCCTGCATGGTCAGGAAGGGTTCCTAGCTGCCTGAGATCTAAACACCATTGGTTCTACCTGGGACCTTCTTGCTCAGTGTTTCTAAGCATAAACTGAAACTAACCGCGAATTCTTACTTGGAATATTCTGAATTGCACTGAAATTCTTCTTATATTTCATTTGTTAAAATAAAATAATACTAACTTACTTACTTTTCACTTATGGTTCCTGCTTTGTACCAGCGATGCTTCATTTTATTCCATTTGAGGGCAAAAATTGCAGTTAAAACGAAGAAAGGTAGAGAAACAAAGAGACTAACTAAAAGGCCCTTTTTTTTAGGAGAAGCACGTCGTCGTTGCTTAGGTTCCAAGGGTGTCATTTTGTCTGAAAATGTCAGAGTACATTTTAAGTTTTTAAAAACTGATACTCAAAGATATTAATTTAAATAAAAAATTGAAATTAAAGTAATAGTAATCAAATAAGTCAGTATATTCTTATTTTAAAAAGCTCTCGTCTTCTGTGACTATGGCAAAGATCATTATATACTTGTCCACTCAGTAGATTTTTATATATCATTGACTACATATAATTATTGACAATTTGTAATATTACAAAAATTTATTTTTAGCATTTCTATGTATATTTATTTATGTTACATTCTAAGTGTTTGATATACTTAGAGGTTACAGATGATATTTGAAATTTAATGTCAAAGGAGTCTTCAAAACATAAAGAAATAATAGAGAAATAATAAAAATAGCACTTCAACAGAAAGTTATAAAAATAGGGCTTTGAGTGATACAAACAACAAAACTTCAAAATAGAATGAATTAAAACTGTCAGAATAAAATGGAAATATAATCCCAAAATTATGACTGGAATTTTTTCAAAGCTTCTTCCTCAATAATAGAAAAAAAATCAGTGTCATAAATTACTTGTACTTTGTACTGGAAATCACCTAAAGTGAAACAGCTAATATGAATGTCTCCCTCAAGAAAATAAGCCTGTAATTTAAAAACATCAAGCTTATAATCGTCAAGCTCATTATAATTTACAGAAAAATATTACCAATCATGTATAGAAGAAATATCAATTTTGAACAATTTCTGCAATATTTGCAGAATATAAGAGGCATACTGTGAGGCTGGTATTACTTGACACAAAATGAGATAAAGACAGTATGAAGAAGGAAGAAAGAATGAGTCAACATATTTCAAGTACACAGAAAAAATTCTTAAGAAAATTTTGACAAATAATATTCAGTAATATGTAATAAATGGGAGACCTTTTAAAAAATTGAAATAAAAGACAAATCATGATAAAATAATGATGACCAAAGGGATTTACAAAAGATATTCAAGATTAGTTCAATATTAAAAAATCCAAATACTGTAATCCATCATATCAACAGATTTGGTAAAAAACATATGAGCCTCACAATTGAAATAACAAGTGTATGCAATAATGCATATTTTTAATAACAAAAAGTTTTAGTTGCTAGGCACTGGAAAGAATTAAACATAAAGATTACCTACTAAGGATTGCTATAACTAGTGGAGGATTCAATTATTTATTCCTAAAATCAGTAATATGACTAGGATTTTTACTTCTACTACTTTTCTTTAACAGGAGAGGTTATTGGCAATACAATAAAAAATAAAAGGAAGTATAATAAATGTATATTGGAAAAAAGGGAAACTGATTTTGAAGATGTAATAGAAATCTCCAAGAACTTACAAAATCTCATAAACAAAAATAAATTTCATTATGTTGTACAATACGAGATCAGCAAAGGAGCCCAGGCATGGCGATGCATGCCTATATCATAGCACTTGGGAGACTGAGGCAAGGATCACCATGGAATCCACCCTGGGCTATAGAATGAGTCCAGGCCAGCTTGAACTACACAGTGAGACCTTGTCATAAAAAATCAACAAAGGAAATCAATGTGTATTTGTTTGCTAAAAATGAACAAAAGGAAGCTAAAGCAAAAAGCACAGCATTGATAAAGCAGTAGAAATGAAGAAAATAAATAATGCAACATCAAAACATATATGGGACCATCTCATGAAAATTACACAATCTTGAAGGAAATCAAGCAGAAACGAATGGGGCTGGGATTTAGCTCAGTGGTAGAACGCCTGTCTAGCAAGCTGGAAGCTCTGGGTTTGGTCTTTCACCTCAAAAAATAAAAATAAAAGGTAAAGAAAAATCTTTTTAAAAAAAGAACCAAATGAAGAAAGATACTGTTTTTATAGACTGGAGGATTCAGTAATAGTAGATATATCAATTCTTCCAAAATCTACAGATAGTTTGTATAAAAATCATAAGAAATCACTTTATAAACACAAACAGGTGTATTCTAAACTGTATGTGAAAGATACCTTAGTGGACTTGTTTATGAAGTTAAAGGTAACTATATCTATGATAAAAAAAGTGTTGCTTTGATGAGTTAATGATGCTTGGATCAATGGAACTGAGAAATATAGTAACAGAAGTTAGTCCAATTAATTTTTGGAAAAAATTCCAAAAACAGAGATTGGATGGGGAATTTTTTTCAAAAACTTCCTCTGAAGTAATTGGAAATCCATAAATAAAAATTAATTTCATTGATTTTTTGCCACAATCTATGAAAAATAAAATGTATCATTAACAAACTACCACACTTTCAGAAATATAGTAGGAAGTCTTTAAGAATTATGACTGGTCAGCAGCTCAGATTATTCACAGACAGCAAAGTCAGATACTTAACCTGAATTTGGAGAGAAGACAGTAGCCCAGACACCTACCAGCTGAGCCAATATGATGATACAAACTGTGAAAGCCTATCATTTCCAAAGAGTATCTGTGAAAGCCAAGAAGGCTTGTAGATATCACAAATAAATAAACAACAACAGTAGGATCCAGGTATTTAAAAAAAAAAAGTAGGAAATCATGACATCTATGAATTACCAAACAAATATCCACCATGGTTTGCAGAGAAAGTGAGATGTATAAAACATCAGAAAAATGATTCAGAATAATCTTTTTAAAACACAAGCTAAGCTGGACTGAGCCATGGGAAGCTGCTCTGGCCTTGCTGACTACCTAGTCTCACCCAGAGGGCACACCGCCACTGCCCCGTCTGGAGGAGGGAGCTGAGCTGAGTTGCGGGAACCTGCTCTGGCCTTGCCTGCGACCTTCTTTCTTTCAGCCTGGAGAGCAGCAACACTACTGCCACCACCTGGAGGAGGGAGCAGCCCTGCTGAGGAGGTTTGAGACCTACCTAGGCCATAAGGGTGACCTTCCATCACCCCGGGAGCTTTGCCATCCAAGGAGGTGGATAGTTACACAACATCCAATTCCCGGGAGAGTATGAGAGCCTTGCTGTAGGGGACTGGGGGCCCGCTGGGCTTGCGGCCACACTAGATTGGGCTTAGCAGGATTTGGGGCTTCCTGGACCATGCCAGGTGGCCTTCTTTCTATCAGGGGAGCTTTGTTGCCAGAGCGGGGAGCTGTGCAGCTTGAGGAGGCTTTAGGCCTACCTGAGAGAAGCCTGGCAACCTTCTTTTAATCCATGGGCCTCGCTGCCCACGGAGGAGGCTATGCTACCAGAGGAGTCCCAGGAGCCCAGGACATAGGAGATATTTTTCAACAAGCCCAGGGGAAGCTCTGAAACAACACTTGAAACACAGAAATATAAGAAAATGACAAAACGAAAGACCAAAATGCAATCTCAAACATCCAGCCCATCCCAAGAAAGCCTAGGAGCCATGTACATAGAAGAAAATACATGCTATATGCCTGAAATACCTGAAATAATAGTAACCAAAATAAAGAAGCAACTCCAGGAAGCTCTAAAGGAATTCAAACTAGAAATAACCTCCCAAGTAAAAGAAGAAATGAAAAAAGAAATGAAGGAAATGCTGAACATAGCTAAAGAAGACACAGTTAAAAAATTGGAGGAACTAAACAAAAAGATAGAGTCCCTGGATGAACAATATAAGAAAAAAACAGAATACATGAAGCAGATGCAAAGAGATATACAGGAAATCACAAATTCCATTGAAAGTTGTAAAAACCGCCTCAATGAATGTGAAGATAGAATTTCAGACCTCAAAGACAAGATTGCAGCTAGTGAACAGGAAAGGAAAGATCTTTTAAAAATAACAAGAAATCAGGAAATAACATTTCAACAACTGCAAGATGACACAAAGAAAAACAACATAAGATTGATAGGGATAAATGAAAAGAAAGGGGACAACATAAAGGGTGTCAAGAGGATATTTAGAGAAGTAATAGATGAAAATTTCCCAAGCATGAGATTGGATCAGGATCAGTGAAGCATATAGAACTCCAAACAGCCATAACCAAAATAAAACTACACCCAGACATATAATAATCACCATCCCAGAAATCCAACACAAGAATAGATTATTAAAAGCTGTCAGACAGAAAAGACAGATCACCTATAAAGGAAAACCTATCAGAATCACTACAGACTTCTCAGCACAAACAATAAAGTCAAGAAGAGAATGGAGTGAAGTATTTCAGATCCTAAAGGAAAATGATTTTCAACCTAGACTGATGTACCCTGAAAAACTGTCCTTCAAAATTGATGGAGAAATAAGATACTTCTATGACAAAGAACAGCTGAAGAACTTCATGATCACCAAGCCAACCCTGCAAAGAATACTGAAAGACAGTTTAGATACACTTAGGAAAAAATCACTAAACAAAGCAGACAATTAAACAGAACAGAAAGATAAAGATGCAACAGCAGAAAGATAACATGTCAACAATAAACCAACATATAACAGTTATAACCATTAATGTAAATGGTCTCAATGTACCAGTTAAAAGAAACAGACTAGCAGAATGGATCAAGAAACAAAATCTAACCATATGCTGTCTACAAGAAACCCATCTAACCCAAAAGAATACTCACAGACTGAAAGTCAAATGATGGAAAACAATACTTCATGCAACAGGACCCCCCCACCCCCCAAAAAAAAATCAGGAGTGGGTATTCTGTTTACAGACAATGTGAACTTCAAACCAAGAATGATCAGAAGAGATAAAGAAGGTCACTACATACTGGTTAGGGGAAAACTTTAAGAAGAGATAACTATCTTAAATATATATGCACCAAATTCCAGAGCACCCAGTTACATAAAACAAGTTTTAACAGAAACAAAAAACCAAATTAGCAGGAACATAATTCTAAGAGGAGATGTTAACACACCACTGACACCAAGGGACAGATCAACCAGACAGAAAATCAGCAAAGAAATAACAGATCTGAATCACACCTGTGAACAAATGAACTTGATAGACATATTCGTGTTCCATCCAACAACATCAGAATACACATTCTTCTCAGCAGTACATGGGACATTCTTTAA